GCTATTTTCTACCTCTCCGTCACCAGCTGTCATCCATTTATCCATCTCTAATGCTCTAAAATAACGCTAATGTTTCCTTTTTGTTTGATTTCGAAAAAGTCTTTGATTGATTTATGGTTTGTGCAAAAATTAACGTGTCGGTGCAACCAAAGGGAAGAAAGAACCAGACTGTTGCAGAAAGGCTGCATTACGTTAGTAAATTGAATTTTATATCAAGGAAAGTTCCTTCCTCAGAGAAAAATTAAATTAGCTCAAGCGCCTTCGTTCTTGTGGTTGCGGAACTTCCATTATGATGGAAGTTAATTGCATCAGCAAACAAAAAACAGCAAGCCCCTGAATAATAAGACCGACAAAAGAAAGTTGCAAGCATCATTTTAAGAGTAGAATTTTTCTTAAATGTGATAGAATTATGGGCATTCTGTTGGTCACCGTAAACAGAAAGCACGAATTACTGTAACTTCAGCTGACCACACTTGGCTACGGTGACATGGTGCCATCGACAGTGATGGGCAAGATCGTCGGTGGCATCTGCTCACTATCCGGTGTACTGGTAATCGCCTTACCAGTACCAGTCATTGTCAGCAACTTCTCGCGAATTTACCATCAAAATCAACGCGCTGACAAGCGTCGAGCGCAAAAAGTGAGTGCTGCTTGTGGCTCCGTATTCACTTGCTAATATTGTGTACATTGCAGAAAGCGCGCCTGGCACGTATACGAATCGTGAAGAACGCGTCGGGTCAGGCGCTTTTCAACAAGAAAAAAGCGCACGAGGCTCGTATGCAAGCGTTTGAGCAAGGTGCGTTTTTCGTGTGACACCAACTGGCGTCGTTAATCGAAATTCGGTGTTCTACGGCACATAATGAGGATGTTCAGGCGCAAATTACATCCTAATTTACAGCACGTAACTCGATATTGCAGGCCTGCTATCATTTGATGCGCTACGCGATGAGGATATCTTTGAAATACAACATCATCACCTGCTGCAGTGTTTGGAGAAGGCCACGGTGAGTTATGAGGGATCAAAGTTAAAGAAGATGAATTATCTATCCATTGATCGCTTCTCGAATGGCCGATTTGTTCTACCTCCATTTTTTAAAATCGATCGATACACTTCTTTTCGCACCTTCCTGCAGTCTATCGATTTATTGTCCAGTATTACCGACGGCTTTCGGGAACTTCGCTGCTGTCAGCAGTTTGTTGAGCGATTATTTATTTGTTATTGACTTAACTATTTTCTGAATTATATCAATCAACAAATACATAAAATATGGCAGTTTATCGAAAAGAAAAAAAGAAAAGAATCTAGCTAGCTTCCGTTTCGTACTAAACCTCTATACGGAAATTAGACTGAAAGCATAGGACTTTTCCTCCTTTTTTATTCATAAGTACAGAAAAGGAAATCCGATACGAATCGAAAAGATTAAAACTGAAGAAAAGCCCATCGATTGAAGTTCTCCTGAAAATGGGCAGCGGCAGCTCTTATTGTACTGATTGTGAGCTGTAACACATCTGCTTGCTGGTAAGTGCTGCAGCTTTATGCAGTCGATAATTGCTTAACTTGTTCATCGAGAGTCGCTCGACTATTGATACTTTGATCGGTTTGTTAGAATGACCTCAGTTATCTGACACATCCTTAGCAATGACTATGATTTGTCTGTATTTTTAAAGCCTTTAACATGCAGCAAACGTTGAGCGATTTTTATTTCAAACTCTTAAATTAGAAGATGGACGCTGCATTGAAACTGAAATTACAGGAGCGCGAGTTCGTGGAGAGCGATGTGACCTTCGACGGCGGCCACTCTACTCCACCCATCTCTGAGTCGTCATCCTTGAGCACAGTTAGGCCAGGAAAACGCAGACGAAGATGGTAATTTTGCTAATAATATTTCACCGCTTACCACTCTTTATCTTGCCAATTTTTTCTTTCTCTAATCCATAGAGTTGGTCTTTCTTTTTATTGATCGAACTCAAGGAGAGGAAATTACCTTTAGTTTATTTTGTTCTTTTGAAGGCAGAGGCGAAACGAACCATAATTTTGCGCCCGCTTTCGTGCAGATTTATGCTCTTCTCACACTTCTATTCCTTTTTACCTACTCAAAGAGCAAGGTTTTCTGTTTTAGACCATACGACTGAAACTCTCCGTTAGCTTAATGAGAGGTTGATAGCAGTTTGTGCAAATTATAGGTATGCCTGCTTATAGACGGAATAATGAGTATTTGAACTGCATCACGGTCTAATAGCTTTGGGGATTTATTAACATTAATAAACATAGTTTATTTCAGCTAATAACATTCACATAAAAAGTAACACGAATACACACACCAATAACACTGCGAAATATTGCCTAGTTACATGAGGTATCACTCTGCTAAACCTTACAATTTCTCATGTATTTTCCATTTCTTTTCACTCTCTCCTTTATTCCTGTAGTTTCCTCTAAATATGTTCGCAAGTCTCAGGATGCTCTTGAAAGAAGACCTTTCTCATTTCAGTATGAGTTGTAGTATTTGTATGCCACAGCTAAATCATGGGATCAAAGTACAAAGGGCACAACAGAATAGATCATAAATGAGAATAATGGGACTATTCTTGCGGCCATATTATTGCAGCTGTAAAAAAGTAGAAATTGCAAGTAAAGGTAGAAGGAGGACAAAATATGATAATAAAATTACTTCGTAGACAATGTAGAAGGAAATGACAATACAGTTTTAAATTAGTTTGTGAGCTCAATCGCTTACGACGTGCAGATAGATAAGAAGTTTCTGGAAATTCTGAGCAGGGAGTAAATGGAGATTTCTGCACAAGATTTACGAATGCCGCTTAAAGTTTCACGATATTACGAGCTTTGGATGCCACGAGTTTTGCTGATTTCAGTGGGTGGTGTGTGCGTGGCGAGAACGAGCATGAAGAAGAAGAAGAACGAGAAACACGGGTGACATTCAACCAGAGTATGAATCAGGTAGTTTTTACAAGCATTTTCCATCCTTTATTTAACACGTTGGTGATCGTACAACCCGCCGGTGGAAAAAAGTAACAAATATTATAAAAGAGTGCTGGTTCCCTATGCAAAGCTGAAAAACGCTCGCTGTCGTCGATATGTTAAAGTGAATAAAATGCTTCAAAAATTCTTTTTCAGGTGCATGAAACAACACCCGACGATAAAGTGGAGCTGCACAATATTTGTGTATCACAGCTTTAATATTACGGTAGTCTGGTTGTGGTCACCTGAAATCCGCCGTTCCAAGAATCTCAAATAGTGTTTTCAATGCTCAGTGAAACAAGAATCATGTGATGATCGAAAATACAAAGATATAGTCTAATTAGCTGCCCTATCAGATAGTGTTCCTAGTGTGCTCCCGAGGAGAACCTCAATGTTTCTGATCTTCAGCTGGATCAAATCTGAGTCTACTTATCAAGAAATGTCACAATGCCATAGGTTGATTTATGTTCACATATTTATGTATCATATGAGAAGAATTATATCCAGATTTCTATGACGGGTGATTGATTTGTATTTTCTCTTTTTACTTATGTATTTGCGCTCAAATGATTGATTCAAATGAAGCGATTTTTTCTCATATGGTGTTCACGTTCCGCATTCATCCGTTATATATCATTTTACTGAACTAACTAGGTTGCCCCTTATGTAGTAGGTCGTCGCGTATATGGTTCCTAATCTTACTGCGACACCACACTCCTTACGTATTTTAATCGGTGTTATAATTTATGGAGTTTGAGTGATGCGCTCTTTGGATTTCTAGAATCCTTGCTTCCACACATCATTTCAGCGGTTAGATGCGAGTATGGCAACTACGTATCATCCAGACCAGTTGCACCTTCGTCACGCTCTTGTCACAATGTTGGCTTGAAAGTGACACAGGCCCACGCAAATCTAATACAGGTATACGATGAAGGCATCATCTCGTACAAGACACGTGCCACTTGGTTTGCTCTATTCAAGAATGGCAGTTATTTGGTGACTGATGTAGAGCTGTCGAGTCGGCCCATGGTAGTGAACCAGGTCTGGGATGGAGTACTGGGAACTCCTACTCCAGGGGCAGGATTAATGCCCAAACCTATGTTCGTCATCTTTAAAACATCAAGGCCCCCATCGACTGCACATGCTGACAGCAGGCCGAAATCACCTTCCACCAATACCAGGCCAAACAACCCCTAGGATTACTGGCTCTTCAGTCACCTTCAGTGTTACCTAGATGGAAAGAAGTTCAAGACAGAGGACAAGATCAGGAAGGTTCTCGACGACGTCTCCAGGGATCAGTCCCCACCCTCCCATGAGAACGGGATCGACAAACTGCCGAGTATTGGCTCGAATGATGTTGGGGATGAAGAATAAAGATATTTAACAACCACATTCTACAAGCTTCAGAAACATGTCCAAAAAATAAAACAAATCAAATAACAAGTAAAACAAAACAATTGCAAATAAAAACATTCCGCTGCAACTGCGCCTTTAAATGTAAAACTTAAACCCGTCACTCCTCCCAAGATCCCCGGTTTCAGCGTTTTCATGCCTAATTCACAATATCGTTGCATAAGAAAAGTTCTGACAGGAGACTGAAATTCTTCCACATTTTTTGTATACCAATAGCTGTCGCAGAAATTTTTTAATGAGGGAGGCTCCATCAGACCAAAAATTGTCAGGCTGGATGCGCCGCCAAAGAAAAACTGGCTGTTAAATTCGTGGAAATACTTTCAGAATTGTTTAAAATGTAGCTCAAAATTTCAAATTAGCGATAAAAATTACCATTCAAAAATGACCTGTTTCAGTTTCTGTGGGCAACTTTCAAAAATCTCCTCTTCCTCTGACTGCCAATGTGTATATCTTGGGCGCATCGTCAACACCTGCCAGCCTGTCATTTTTTATCGGTGGAAAAATTCTTAAAGGAGAAAAATTTTGCTAGAAAGGAGCAGGAAAAAATTAACTCCGCGCAAATTTGATACCAGGCATCACAGCCACTGTGGAAGTAGAATTTGCTCTATTCTACATACTTCTGGGTTTGTAAAAAGCCTGCCGACAGTGCGCGATTTTTTGAATATAGACTCCTAGCGAAGTTATATCCACTGGTTCTTGCAGTTGTAAAAAAACGCAAAAATACGTCCAAATGACCCAGTATAGCAGGACTATACAAATCCCATTCGACTTGCAACCGTATCAACAGCTTGGTTTGTGTTGTTCAGACTTTTTGCAGGGCTTGTTAACCCTTTACATGTTTTACACTGGAACAAAAAAGAAGGGTTTTTACCGTTTATTCAATCACACATTCAATCAACGCTGTGGGAGAAACATACAAATATATGTGAGATCTATCAAGAAGGACGAAATTCTGTATTAAATTCTGTATGGAAAGACGTATAAAGCATGCTGAGCTGAAGTTCTTGAGAAAATTGAAAAAACGATATGACAGCACCCTAGATTCATCTATCTAAATTAAGAAGATATCGAATATACTATAAAATACTTCGTAGAGCCCGAATTCTGCATTAGTTATCTTTGTACAATACATGCATTAAATATGGAAATTCGAAGAATCGCAAATCAGCAGAAACAGAAGAAGAATGTTCTCT